ATAAAACAGAATTTGCCAAAAATACTGAAAGATAACGTTACAAGTGTAATTTCTAGGAGGTGTAAATGGCGTTACCTAAAAAGGTTAGGATTGCCAGGCGAATTCCAGCTGGATACTCGAGACAAAGAAACGGCCGGAATAAAAATCTGTTTGCCGAGGAAACGGAACGTCAGTTAAAGGATTAGGAGAATGTTAGAAGAAAGATACTAGAGACCCCTGTGATTAAAATTACAAAATGGTCGGACAGATAATCCGCAAAGAATGACACGACGGTTATCAATTGTTCGAGCCGATTTCATTACGTAAATACGCAATCTTGTTTTTGTTCAGATCATCCATCGGGTGGCCCCTTCCGATAGCAGACTGAAATTCCTTAACCGTATTAGATGCCTTCCAAGTTAGCAATCCTGATCCAATGTGGCAGATCTTTGACTCGCGCACACACTCGCGTCGGATTATCCATCGTCGCTTTTGTAACCGCTCTTGCCGCCTCGGAGCGCACCTGTTGCTTCTTTTCTTTTCTTTTTTTTTTTTTCTTTCTTTCTTTCCCTTCGCCAAGTCGTTTCTCAGACCGAATGAAATGAGAATGATCTGTAAAGAGGAATTAGTTATTATTGGAGATCAAGCTGTGTACCTATCGTTTGCCTTCTTATCTGAAAAAGGTCTGACCGATTGATGTAACTGATAGCGAAGTGAATTCAGTGTCGTTACGAGCATTCTGAGACAATCAGATGGTACAGATATCTCGTCCTCTGTTAAAACGTATCTTCCGTGACTTCCGCGCGACGTGGAATCGAAACGCTGGGCCTTGACATTACGACATCTACGTTCCCCGGAGTTCATGGGAATGATTGTCAGTCAAGTTTAACGTTTTCACTGCCGGGGTAACGTAGTTCGAGGAGACAAATAATAGCCCTGTGCAACATCACGCGTACGCGACGACTGGCATAACTAGTGGCCTTCGTTCTAATTATAAAAATCCTCTCCACGCCGCGAGATTGGGAATTACGATTTCCCTCGAACACACTCTGTCAGCCTCTCATTTTAATCATCTCTTCTTCAATCGCTGCTGAAGTGAAGCGTGTCTTTTCGCCCGGGCTGTAGACGCGCGTAAAAAGACACGCTGGCATAAGTCCCGCCATTTTGAATTGTGTCACGAGCCCAGCTAAGGTAAAACGATCCCCCCATTAATCCGAGCACGGCAGATAGAGTTCTTTGCACTGATAGAATTTCAGTTTCCACGAGGGGGAACGTCTATGTATCTTCCCCGGGGACGAAACACGTGTCCAACAGCGACGGAAGAGTATAATATCTATCTCGATACAGCCAAGCCGCTAATAAATTGCGAAACGTGGCAGGAAATCCTTTGGGCGTCACTTCTCTATCATCTATTGATTATATGGCTCTTCCGCGGAGAATGATTGCCCCCTGATTCACTTTCTAATCACGAGCCACACGACAAAGTTTCAAAGAATTAAACAATGAGGTCCCTGTTTCAAAGCTAAGCCCCCCCCCCCC